ATGGTATGAAGCATGAAAGAAAATGAATGTCTTCCACTGCCCCATCCTTTGGATTCCTGAATAGATGACATGGAGGGCCAGACACAGGAATTGTACCTGGCTAAAATTACAACCAACAGCATCCAAAATCCAGCACTAATAAGGTAAAAGTTACTCCATTTGATATACTCATTATCCATCTGAAATTATGGCTCATTGTTATGTTGTTATTCTGATACTGAAATTAGTGCAGCTCTTTCATGCCATAGATCAGTCTTGCTCTGTTATGCAGATCCTTCCAGCTAACTCATATTTTGCAGTGGATCCTAAAACTAACCTTTAGCAAATTCTTTTGTGCCACAAACAGAAGTATATATGGGATTGGTCAACAGATCTGTATTTTTAACAGCTGGCTGAGGTTCATCTAACAGTTAGCTAAGTAAAGAGACACAGAGCTATCTCAAAGGGTAGCCTCTTTTCAGTTTTAGAAGAAAACGGGTTCACTAATAATCCCTTATTGGAAATAATAATTTAGATTAGCACTATCTAGTGCATATTTCTTATTCTGCTTCAGAGACCAATTTCCCAACAAATATTCTTAATAATACCCATATTTTCTTAACATATAATCTACTTTTCACCCAAAACCAGCTGGGGAAAATTGGGGTGTGCAAGGCAAAGGGATTGCCACAGGTCAGAAAATTTAGCAAAGGAGAAGGGGAGCAGTAGCAGCATTAATTTCTGTAGCTCAGCCACACCAATTAACTCTGCCACTACTCCCCCTGCTACCAGATTGGGCTGGCACTCAGGGTTGGTCCATGGCCAGACCCAACCCATCAAATCTGATCTGACATATGGCCCCAGACCTGGGTTTGAACTCATGTGTTGGCTCTGGGGCCATGTTCTCAGTCAGAATTGCTGTGCCAAGTTGGGGACTGTGTGCTGGTTCCAGGGTCACATGCTGATCAGACCTGGCACTTGGCTCCAGAGCCAAAGCACAGTCCTAGTGCATGGGGCCAGACCCAGCATGACTCCAGAGTGGACAGCCCTGGACCCAGTGCACTGGGTTGGACCTTGCACATGGTTCTGGAGCCAGCACATAGGGTTGGACTTAGCACAACAGTCTTAGCTCACTAGCTGCTGCCACTTATTTACCTCAAAGATCTTTTTTTTCACTTTAGGCTCCCCCTCAAAATCAAGGTGCATACTACAGACAGGGTGCATTATATGCAAAAAATATGGTAACTTACTGTTCTGAATAATACTTTCCCATATCAAAATCACATACCTCCTCTGTTGGACCATCTCTCAAGTAATAACTTTGAAGTAAAATACAGACATGTTCCTGTTTTTCAGCTGAGCAATACCACCAAAAATATATATTGTGTAACCCAGAGGTATGCAAAATATGGGCCATCGGCCAAATCTGGCCCACCAACTGATTGGATCTGGTCTGCGGGGGGCACGCATCAACTGACTGGCTCTGGCCCACAGTTGCCCCTGTGACACTCCACATGGGACTCAGCACTGCCCAGGGCAGCCTGCTCTGTGCTCCTACCTGTCCCCACTGGATTGGGTCCAGGACAGTGCATAGAGTTTACTGGCAGGGCTGCTTGTAAGTGTGGCTGCAGCCACCTGGGTGCTGCTTGCCCACCCGACTTGGGTGGTCAAGTGGGTGGAAGGGAGCTGGAACCCTGCATGCTGGGGCAGAAGCTGCCTAGATGAAGTTTCCTCCCTACCCAGAGTGGTGCAGCAGGAGGAGGAGCTGCTGCTGGAGGCAAGGGGAGTCGAGTAGCACCAGGACAGCTGAAGCTGCAAGGGGAGCAGCCCTGCTGGTAAGCAGTGCATGCTAGTTGGGGCTGGCCCAGCAAGTATAGGCAGAAGAATGGTATGGGCTGCCCCAAGCAGGTGCAGGCAGGGCTCAGTCTCATGCAGAGCACCGCAGGGGCAACTGCAGACCACACCACCTGGGTGAGCTCTACTGCACTTTCCTCCTGCCCCCTTCTCCCTCCCCTCACCCCCTGCTGGCTCCTGTGACCTAGTGCCCAGGCACCCCTGCCACACACATACCATGCACATGCCTCCTAAACTCCACAGGGCAAGGGTGGGCAGAGTAGATTGCAGCTCTGCTCTGGGCCCTGGCCCCACACTGTCACTGCCCTGTGACCCAGCCCCATGATCCTGGCTTTACCTGCCCATCCTGCTCCTAAACAGCTACAGCCCCATTCCACATAGGGAGATTTGGTGAGCTGTTGCAGCGGGAGAAACTAGGGGGTGCTGACTTGGCACATGACAACTCATCAAAACTCCCTTTGTGGCCCCCAGACCCAAATAACTGACCACCCCTGATGTAACCCCATAATTCGGAACATGCCTTATGACACTTCTTACACCTCTATGACCTTCATATTGTATATCATAAATATACTTCAAAACACTTACCAGAAATTTTGTAACTCGTTTATGTTCTCTTTGTTCTCTCATAATTGGTATTTGTACGATGCAAAGAATACTAGCGTCTTCAATTTGATCCATCAATAGCTTGACAATTCAGAAGACAACAGCAAAATAAATCTCCTCTATATTTATTAATTTCATGCACAGTGGTGTTTCCCACTAGCGGAGATTTCACAGTGCAAGTTGAAGATAAATTTCCCCTGTGAAATAGCATAAAATAAGTGGGATCAAGGTTGTACATGTCGCAGGTTTATATTAATGATGGTTTTATGGAATAAAACTATTTTAGAGATGGTCAAAAATCTATGAGTGTTTGAAAAAAAGTAGGATCATTATGTTAGAGCCAGCAAGTTAAAATTTTACCCTCAGCTTCTGAAGAATGTTTCACAGGTAGGGTATTTAAGAGTTTTGAAGGGCCCTGAAGTGTTCTGGCTTTGAACAAACTATGGCAGAATAAGGTTTTGCTCATTTATAACAAAAAACTATCAAACCAATTCTACTTGAACTAGTCTTGATCTTTGCCTCAGTGAGTTACACTAAACAAATCACCTTTACAAGAAATCAGTGAAGAGATTTTAAGGTTATTGAACGTTTGGCAACCTTAAAACGGAGGGAGAATTTTAAATCTCTTCAGCTCAATGCATCCCGAATTCAACCATCCTTGATAATAACACTTCAGCCTACAAGGATTGGGTGATAGCTCCTGCATCGTCAACCAGTTAAGAGGAGCTGCCACATATACCCTATATCACTACTACAGCCACACTAAGGCCAGGTACAAACATTATATTGTTACTGCTATAAGTGATCAGAAACCAGTCTATACCCATAACAGAACAGAAGTTCAGCACACACAGACTGGCTTAAAAATGGCAAAACCCAGTCTAAGATTTGCCCCACCACTAACCAAAGGGCAAATGTGTGTTCTGTTCGCCACTGAACTAAACTATGCCACTTACAAAAACCCACTGCATAATTTAGATAGATTCCACCTTGGACTTTTTGAATGTCCATACCTAACCTAAAGGAGCGCACCTAGAAAGCCCCATATTATCTCTGATCCCACAGAGTCTTCCCACATAGTGCTGGTGCTAATCAGGAATATACAGGTTGCCTTCAGTTAATGCCAGCATCTTGCAAAAACACAGATTATCAATCTTCTTTAAATTCATACCTTTTTAAAGCCTGGCTCCTGCTACTCCCCTTAGCTTCTCTTCTCCCTTGCTTCTCAGCTGGGGCTGCACAAGTCAGAGAAGGGAAGGCTCATCCTGGAATCTTTTAACTCATGCAGCAATCTAAAGAGACTCTCTCCCCTCCCATCAAGCCCAGGAGCAGCTGGGAGTGTCTGGCCCCCTTTCGTGTATTAAGATGCTGCTGTTCTCTGAGCAAGAGAGCAGAGCACTTTAGGACTCTTAACAGGAGGGAATGAGTGGGAATTCTGAACATGTAGGAGGAAATCAGTGCATGGATTCAGTCTGATTGGCTATTCATCCCCAGCAGCTGGGGAAATAGGGAAGGCAGCCAAACTGAGAGGCATGTATCCAAGAGACTGGTAAGAGGATCTAAAAAAAGCTATGAAGCAAATCCTGTAAAGTTGGAAGCCCTTGAGGTTGATGCGTAGACATGAATATTTATCCTGAAATATTAAAAGACTGACCTTTGGCATGTTTTCATATAAATCCAATCCTTCCAAATAGTTCTAACAGATATGAGCAGTCCCCACAACTTTGCTAGGACAGCTTTTATCTGATGTGCAAAAGCCATCCATCCAAAAGGACCCAAGTAGGATTGATGTGGTGCATATGCCCTTAGCACAGGAGTGAATTGTATCTCAAGTGAATAATAGGTAATATGAGAGAGGATTTGCTGCATCAAGTCCTGTGCACACAACTTAACTACTCTCAGTGATGGACACCAGGTGGCATTTACCAGCCAGTGTTCTGTATTTAGAGAAGAACTTACTTCTTATTTTTCAGTGCTTACATTTGCCCTTAAAGAAACCTGGGAAATTAAATATTAAACCACAGTGTTAAGACTGCATGCACAGTTAGGCACTCAGAAGGCAAGGATGAATGCATAGACTTAACTTGGCCTCTTTGTGCATTGAGACAAATCTTTACTGCAATCTTGAATTTTCTTAGCTATGCATGTATGTACAATTTTAGGAAGTATTTCAGTTTATTATATTGTAACATGTACTAATTGTAGTTGATAATCATCTGGGGAAGGTATTTAAATAAGGATTGTACGTCTTTATTACAGACTGGGGTTAAGCAAGCTATTAGAATCAGGCATAGGCTGTGTGATGCAGTCAGAAAATATAATCACAATCACCTCCTGGTATCTTACAAGGTACCACACAACTCTATAACTAAACATCCTCCCCCCACTCTCAAAAAAAAAGGTCTTACTCATGACATAAAATATGCCTACCCATTCTTTTCAACAAATATACTCAAAAATACATAATGAAAAAACACTTTCCTCTCTGATTTTGAGCTACTTAGTTAATCTATAAGGTGCAAATCTACTCTGGCTTCTAACTATATCTTGCCTCTCAAATGAACAATACGTGATTTTTAAATCTGAAAGAGTGATTTTCTTAAAGTGGATAGAGCAAGCAATTCATTTCAAGCACAGTAATTTTAATAATATTATTTCAGGCTGCTTGTAATACACCGAATATGTACTGTATCGGATACACAAATATGCTAATGAATACTCATTGCAATCCACTTAAATGAATAGGCAGGAATAAGTCTACCACAGCATCCCAGCCCATCCCTTAAGTACTTTTCTTTTTATAGGATGAAAGTGGCTGTTTGAATAATTACAGCACTGCTGCAGATTCTATGTGATCTCTAATTTTCCTATTGCTATCCTGGTTTTGACATGCAAAACAAGATACAAGAGACTATGCTGTCAATCTGCCAGAGGCCACTGAAATACAGAATTAAAGCTGTTGTATTTTTCACACTTGTGAGAGAGGAATGGACTCCAAGAATTACATTTCCTGGCAATTCCCAGTATGTGTCCAAATTAAAGTGATCTGAATGCAGGGACTTATTAATTTTTTTTTAAATATTAAATTATTTTATTAGAATTAATCATCTGACTTGTCGTATTGTATCTGCAACTGTATCCTGACATAAATACTGAAAGACAGAGAAAAATCATTACAAGAAAAATAAGTATTTGTAACATGAACTTATTATGAATTTCACACACTGTAAATAAGTTTAAAAATAAACCATCCAAAACACCCTATTATCTTGAGAAAAATGGTTAGTCTTACTCAGTGCACAAAAGGAAATTAATTGGTCTGACAGCAATGAGAGAGAAAACTGAGTCTATGCGAGTTTTAATGAATACCTATATACAGAACAGGATAAAAAACATAGCAAAATTTCAGCTTTATACTCTTCACTTCATTTTACTTACCATCAGTTCCTATTTACTTTTAAGTTCAGCACAAGGCCAGAAAAGACATGAGAAAACATTGAATATTGAAGAATATTTTTTTCTTAAAGCATTAGTTGTATGTCATTTTAATGGTGTTAGATTTCAGAAACTGATGAGGCATAAACTAGTTAGCTTTACAGTGTTCAAACACTGTTAATCTTAAAAGAACACAGGCTTCAAATGAGCAGTCTTCAATCAATTTACAGAACTCCATCATTCTTTATTACTGAAGATGTTACTGCCTTGGTTGCAGTGTCTTGCTCAGGGTATACATACGATGTGCCCTGCAATGAATTTGCTCTTTGAGGAGGTTGTGCACTATGGCCATTACTCAGTCTCTCTGCAGGTTCTGGAGATTTTTCCCGCCATCTTGGACTTGCCTGCTCTTGAGAGACTTCCCATACAGAGGGGCATGAGGAGGTCAAATTCAGAGTGGATCTTGAGAGGTAGTTCTCTTGAAGACCCTCTTCTTGAAGGCACCTGTTTGAAAGCACTTCTTTTTCTTTGGAGTTTCGCCATTTCATCCTCCGGTTCTGAAACCAAATCTTCACCTGTTTACAGGTTAAAAGGAGATGTTTACTGATTTTTAAAATCAACCTTGCCTTAATCTTATACTTTTCTTTGAAGCCCTTAATTTTATACTCTCCTTTCTGGGTCTATTGAAATCCAAAGCAGTGGAGTCCCAGTGGAGTCTATGGAACTGTGTTGATTTACAGTCAGCTAAAGGTCTTTTTATTTACAACAACCTCCCTCTATTTGGACCACTTCTGAAGAGATGAGGAGACATCTTAATAGATTAGAAAGAAGGCAGGCTAGTGCCTAAGAAGATAGCAAATTTCCACAGCATCATCTCCTCAATCTATAAGGATTCCTAATTAAAATAAGTGTGTCACAGTATAAGCTATTTAGGGTGAGATTACAAGTGCTAATTCTAAGGAATGTTGGTGTATATTAAAGGTCTAGTGCTAGTGATCAATCAGTCACACTTTGGAGTTAATGCCCAACCTAATGTGCACTGCTCAGGCCTGCCACTAGAGGGATGGCGAGCAGGGACATGGCTAGGAGCTGCACACCTTTTTCATGCCTGCCCTGCTTGCTGACTATCTAGCCACGGGATAAGCTGAGGAGGAGAGAAGGAAGGCCTGCCCCCCATGCCACTTGAATTTTTCCTTCCACACCCCCACCCCAAATCCCCTCACTTCCCCACATCAGCCCCTGGATCCAAGCCAGGTAGCACAGCTCAAAGATAATCCTTGCCCTAAATGGCATAACTTTAAGAGGCCTAAAGAGCGCTTAGCAATTGTTAATGAATCTTAATGCATGATCACTCAAGTCTTAAGTGCTCTTAACATGATCTAATTGCAATGTGTAATGTCACCCAAAGAAACTCACAGGTATGTTGGGCAGCTATTTCAATAATGAAGATGCCACTAGCTAGTTCCCCAACCCACTGATTTCAGTATTAAGATGATACAAGCACTGCTGATTATGTGCAGGTACCACAGGTTTTAGCTTTTCTTACCTCATTAATGCTCATATGAGCCTGACCTCAGCCTCTGCTCAGTGTTCACACCTTATTCAGGTTCCTTTCCTTGTTACACCAACTTCCTTACTTCTACAGGCCTTATCTCATGGGACCCTGAGCATGTGTTTTATTTAGATCTCAGTGAGTGCAACTAAGAATTAGACCTTGGTCAAAGCCAGGGGTACTTAGGAAGGCCCCAGAGGGTACGCGGCAGCAGTGCAGAGAAAAGTGGGGCCACCAGCGCTTTGTGACACTGTGCGCCTCTGATACTTTTATTTTTGCCAGCACTGTACGTGCTTCCGCCGTCACGCACCACCAGCATTTCCAGTTTTGCCGCCGTGAGTGTGCAGGACCCCCTTTTCCCTGCTCGATCAACCACCAAGGGATCCCGCTCCCCCGCCACTCGTCAACTAGCCACCAGGGGACTCCCTGCTTCTCAACCAGCCGCCGGTGGTACATCAACCAAAAAGGTTGAAAGCCCCTGTTCTAGCAGTTGCACAGTACTGCTTACTAGGATCTGGATAGGTTCAGTCAACATACAGCTGTTTGTCAGTCCCAGCCCCTACCAGTGTCTTAAACTGGCTCTGCTGAGGTCTCAGGAGTGGGATTGACAACATTTTTTGTCAGTCCGAGCCCTACCACCATAACTCATCAGAGCCTGCAAGGACTGCTCATATCTCTGTGGGGCAGCCCTGCAACAGATGAACACGTGTTACTCCTGTGAAAAGTACTAACTCTATTACACTATGATAGCACTTACCATGTGTTTTACTGCTTGAAAGTAACGGACATTGGCATTTTAAATACAGTTGTATCTCAAGTGTAACATAAGGCCCTAAGAAAGACCTAGTTACTACCACAACACTGAAAATGACTGAGATGAGCTAGAAGAATTAATCACTCACTTCACTATGCTGGACAATTTTCTGACTGCCAAATAAGACCCCATATGTAAATTAGACTATACCAGTTTGACAGTATAGTGGCTTCCCCACAGCAATACGAACTCTTCCACTTAAAAGAAATTAGCAGGGCTACTAGTGTAATTGTCCTTCTATCCATATACCATCATCTTCTCAGCTCCCCTTCAGCTGCCTCTGGTACAGGCATAGTACAGGTACATCATTAATTCAGCCTGCCACTACTTACAGGTAGGCCGCTGTAGGGTAGCTGAGAAGATGATGGCATATGGATGGAAGAATCACATTACTATTGACAGTGGGGCCAGAAGACAGAGTAGAAGTATTATCTTTATGATTGCAGGTCCCAGGGATCTTCCTGAAGGGGGCAATCCTTTTCCCATTCCTTAGATGACAAATCGTGCCCTCAAAGGATGCCACCTGTCAGAGCTCTATGAATCAACATTCCTGAAAAATCACTTGGTTCATACATGGGGAATATCTGGCAAGGGGTGATCTAATCCATCATTAGTATTAGTAGAAGTATTAAATTGTCCTTCTTTAGTGTTAATAGCTACCCCCCTCTTAGACCATTATGTCCTAGTTCCTCCCTCACCAGTTTGATTTTCTATCCAGAACACAAAAGAGTGTAAAAAGGAAATAACTGCAATGTTCAATGTTTGAATACACACTTTGAGCATTTGAAACAACTTACCGGAGAGTGTGACTGTCAGCCTGAAAAAGAAACAGTTTGCCCTGTGGAGATTACTATGCTGCTCTAGTTATGACCCTTTTCAGTTTAATAGTCTATACACTCTTTACTCTTTATGGCTGTAGTGATAGTGAAGTATCACTATAAAACTTCTACACTATACAGACCTCCACCACCCTCAACCTTTCCTGCCCATCAAGCTTCTTCCTCCAACAGCTTTGAGCCTTCTCTTATGTCTTTAATGCATACATATAAAAAAATCAGTGCAGCCACAACCTTAGCCTCTTTCAGTTCCATACTTAAGGCTCACATCTTCCACAATGCTTTCAAAACCTTTCCTGCTGCCATCACCAGATTGATTTTCTTGCTTGTTATATCCCTAGCTTGTGTATGCATGTGCCTTAGAGTACATGAACTCTGTGGCAGGTACAGTCACTTTATCTGCACCAGAATGTAGCCCACTGTATAGTACCGAGATATCAGACCTGACCGGAAACTATAGGCATCATAAAGCAATCAATCAACCTGAATTTTGGGGTTGTGCCCAGGCATCCCTGAAGAGTCCCTGAGCTGAAACTTTGAAAACTGTTCCAGAATCAGCCCACTCCCCCCACAAACATTCCCGCTGTGTCTAGCCGTGTTCTGCTATGTCTGCTGAGAGGACAAATCCAGCCCTACTGCTCCTGGTTCAGGTGATAGCTGTGAGCTAACTCTTGAACTAGATGCAAAATAGCCATGTTCGAGCATCAATGCGCTACGTTAGCTTTGCTGTACTGCATCCAGTTTTGGGCTCCACAATTCAAAAAGGATGTGGAGAAGCTTAAGAGTCCAGAAGAGAGCCACGCGCATGATCAGAGGTCAGGAAAACAGACCTTATGACGAGAGGCTGAGAGCCATGGGACTTTTCAGCCTGGAAAAGCGCAGGCTCAGGGACAACCTGATGGCCACTTATAAGTTTATAAGGTGTGTTCGCCAGGACCTGGGGGAACGTTTGTTCACCAGAGTGCCCCAAGGGATTACAAAGTCAAACGGTTATAAACTCCTGCAAGACTGTTGCAGGCTGGACATAAGGAAGAACTTCTTTACTGTCCGACCCCCAAGGTCTGGAATGGTCTGCTGCTGGAGGTGGTTCAAGCACCTACTTTGAATACCTTCAAGAGAAACCTGGATGTTTTTCTTGCTGGGATCCTATGACCCCAGCTGACTTCCTGCCCCTGGGGCAGAAGGCTGGACTCGATGATCTTCTGAGGTCCCTTCCAGCCCTAATGTCTATGTCTACAAAATCTATGAAAAGCTAATTATCTTGCCCACAGTGTCACACTAAAACAGCTACCCTAATCATCACAATTAGAAGCGGTATAGAGCATGGGTCAGCAACCTGTGGCCTGAAGGCAGGACCTGGCCCATGAAGGAATTGTTTCTCACCAACAGAGCCAGGACAGTGGCCTTGTGCAGTGGCATGGTGAAATCAGTGTCAGCCAGTTCACAGGTGGCAGCCAGATCAGAGGCAGCAGGCTGCCTGAGACTGAGCATCATTAATTCAGTCTGCCACTGCTTATAGGTTGCCAACCCCTGGTGTAGGCCACTTCTGGTTCCAGCAGTCTGTGGAACAACTGGGACTGTATTTGGATTTTTTCCCCTGAAAAAAAATCAGTCACTGTGTGGTATAACCACATAATACATGCATTTAGTAATAGAAGAACATGGTGGTGATATTAAACACCAAATTCTGAAGTTCTATTTTAGGCAGGTATGTAAAGGAGTTGGGAACATCCAGAAAGGTCACCTTTTGGACTTGTCTTTTTAGTGTTCCTCTCAGTTCCAAGGGTCTCCATCCTCAGGCCAGGGTAAATTCTGTTGAGAGGTCTGCTATTTCAAGTTTGCTTTGACATCAGGACTCTAGTAAGAGTTGTACTGCCATTAAAACAGTTCCCCTGTGACTGCTCAGTAATATGTACAGAAGGCAGCGCTGAGCTAAATTACCTCCTCCCTAGATTTCTGGGCAGAAAACTGGAAGCAGAGCAGAAGATGATTCCCTGATCCTAAATCACTGAAGAACTTCATAGGGCAGAGCCCCAGAAACAGACAGCAGATAGAGTGATAGGAGTAGAAGGTGACAGTGTTCAGAGTTTCCTCCACTTTGAAATGCAGATATCAACTTTTGAATGCATATCACCATGTAATAAATTAGGGACTCTCTGGGTATGCCTATACTGCTACCTAGGGCTACTATCTGACCTCTGGCTCAAACCCATTGACCATCCATGTTAAAAGCCACTTAGTTCATCCTTTGGTGGTAGCTCAACCTGCCCCAGAAGCTCACCTCCATGTCAGACCAAAAGGCTGGGAACCAACTAGCTAAGAAGCATCTTAAGAAAAGGACATGGAGGTTCCAGTGGACAATAAGGTGAATAT